CAGATTTATTTAAGAAAGGACTTGTGTCACTAAAGTTTCGTCGGAACTAAGTTACGGAAAATTAATTAGCAAACGGTTGTTTGTTTGTTTGTTTTTTAAGTATCAAACGAGCAGGTACGTAACAATACTTAGTAAAGGGGTAATGTATGGGAAGTATCAGTAGTGAATTTTTTTAGTGTTGGCATGTAAATTCTAAATGCTGTTTAATAATTTTCGGAAAGAATTTGAACGTTTAAAATTTAAAGAAAAAAATTAAGTGAGTTAAATATATGATCTAAAACTGCTTTTGAACGTTGCCTTCATATATGTTTCGTCACAAACGAGATCGAGGCGACCTAACAGCAAGCGCGAGCGTCGCGTTTACATGCTGAACTCTTGTCTATCAAGTACGAGGGTGATAAGGAAAGTGTTTTGGAAATTGGAGTAAGAATATCTAGTGGAGGCTACTAGGTCGTTATGGTAAGAACGGGATCTTTTTCAAAGCATCATCGATTCAGTTACTAGTTTGTAGTGCTATGTAGCGATTATAATGCCAGAGAGTTCAAATATATTGAAAATACTCCAAGAAAGGAGTTCAAGTAAATCTGAAAAAAAGTGAAACGCAACACATAAGTTGCCGTCCCGAGTTAAAACTAAAAGTAAAACTCGACTTGGTCTTAAAATACTGTTGCAGTGTCAGTGTCAATTCAGAAAGTCAAAAAAAGCATTAAGCTAATTTGGAAAGCGATTGTCCATGGTGGCTGCTCTGCTCTTAGGCAAACTCTTCTTTTTCTGCTCCGCTCTTCGATGCCAATGGCCTCTAATACAGCTGTGCTACACTCTAACACTTTGCCTAAGCTTTGGCTGGTACTTCTGAGTCTGTTTGTGCATATAACGTTTTTCAGGCTTTCTTTTGCTGAGATTCGTGAGAATGACATCTACACGGACCAGTTTGTTATTCTTGTTAGCGGTGGACCCCAAGTGGCTCAAGAGCTTGCTAGAAAACATGGCTTTGTTTACTTGGGACAGGTAAGAGAATGCTGAAGTCAATCTCTGTCAGATTTTGCCTGCTCTCTATTCTACTTGTCTAAACTGAGACTTAATATTATTAACAATGAGGCTAATAACACTTTAACAGGCCCAGTAAATTTTAAAAGTTTTTATGAAGTAGGTTTACACAAATGTAAAAAATATAATTTCAAGTAATAACAATTGAACTTTGAAGTAATATATTGTTAAAAAACACTACAATTATACTTTTAATTGGTATATTTTTGAAAATAATATATTTTAATGTTAATTGATAAAGATGGATCAGCAAATTACAAGTTGAAGATTTGCAAGTGTAATTATCATGTAAAGTTGCATCTTTATTAAAGCACACAACAGAGTTAGTAGATATATAACATTACGTTAATATAAGATACATTAAGACCATAGAAAACTTTACTTTATTAAGAATGACTTGAATAAATTTGTTGTTAGATTAACTGGCATTAAATTCCACATTTTTCTTATTTTATACATGAACATAACCTTGATATCTTAATTTTAAACGTTTAATGGTATGACATTAAATTAACACCTACATTTCAAGCATAAAAAATCACCTTTCAAAATTAGGGTATCAATAAGGTGAATAAATGAAAGAAGGAACTGACAGGCTTTGTAAATAATACAAGAAGATAGCTTTATATAGATTACTGAAAATTAATTTATTGACCTTAGTGTATGAATAATGTATTTGTAAGTGTGAATAATAGTAACACATTTAAAGTATCCAGATAACCTACACTGTTTACAAAACAACTAAATAGCATTTTATCTACAAACTTGTCAACAAAATTTTAACCTAGAATAAAAACAACTTCAACAATACTGTTGTGTTAGTAGTTCATAACCTTAAAATTAAAGAGAGTGAAATAATTCTATGTTACAAAGCTGTGTTTATAGGTGCTTCTTCTAAAAAAATATATTATTACTTCATGTTACATAAGAAAGACTTCCGATGACCAACCCAAGTAAATCAAATTATGCTACCTATAGCTTTGTTTTCTACATGTGAAACTCATTGTTTTGGGGAGTCTTGATTTACATTAAAATCATTGTGTTATTCTTATCTGTATTTTTTTTCATATATAATTAGAGCATAATTAAATTCAGGACTATTAATGAAGTGTAATAGTCTAAAATGAAAATAACATATTATACACTGAAAACCAGATGATACACAAATAAATCTCGAAATCATAGCTTTCTATTTTGCTATAACCAAACAAATAGCAGAAAGTTTAACTTCATATCCAAATCTTCAACTTCTTCGATCTGACGAAGCAATCTTCTCAATTTTTATAAACATTAATGGTAAGAGTAAGAGGGGAGCCTTATGTTAGTTATAAAGTTAATTTATGTCAATTTTAGTTACTGACAAAGGTATCTGAGAATATGCAGAGAGAAAATGACCAGAATTTATTTACATAATTACTTAAATTCTAATAAATTTATACTTCTTAACTTTTTGGTTTATCAAACCATATTTCTGAAGTACTAAACATACTAAAGCTAATGTTAGTGACTATTTATTTTCAGATATAGCATGAAGTTTAGCAAAATGTTTTGTGTAATTTCTATTTTTTACAAGCCTGTTTGCAAGATAAAACATGTTTTTAGCTGAACCATTTAACTCATTATATATAGAACTGAAATTTGTTCAAAGGTCAGTATGATTTCAGGATTTTTATAGTTACTTGTTAGTTTTAGTTTAGCAAGTTTCAAGTGTGATATGTCATTTTGTGAAGTTAGAATGTCTCTTACAAAGTGATATGACACATTGATTTTTCTTATGTTTTTATAATTATTTTAAAAATTCTCAGAATTTTAAACAGTTTTATTCCAGATTACTTGACCCAATAGGCTTTGACTTTTCTAAATGTTTTATTAAAATAATTCATTAGAAATTTATGTTAAATTTAAAGGACATGAGGTGTAAGTTTTATAAAAATATTCCCAAACAGTGAACATTTATCAAAAAGCTTAATCTTTCTGTTTATTGTGTTGAAAAAAAAATCGAAAAAGTGTTTGTCTCTCATAAAAAATTTTAGCTTTAATCTTAGAATACATTAATGCCACATTTTTCTAGTGGTCTCTACTTTAACCATATCATTTTTAGTTCACCAAAATATCTTGTTGAATGAAGTATTCAGGAATGTGACTTGTTTTTCATTTCATTGATTTAGGCATAAACATTTAGTTGTCATAACAAAAACTTACTCTTAAGGAGATTATGCCTAACATTACTGTGGGAGTCCTTGAAATGTATTTTACATACATATAATGTGAACCTGATCTGTCATAAAAGTCTCGCTTGTACTTTTGTTAAGGAACATAATTTACACTCGGTATACTTGTACAGATATGTAGACGATACACTTGCCTGATTGACATCTTCATGCATGTAGCTTTTTCAACCATACACACAAATATGAAGTTCACCAGTGAATACACAAAGAATCAACAACTAACATTTCTAAACCTCATTATCACAAGAATAAATATACAGTTTAAAACAAAAATCCCCAGAAAAATCATTCATACTGGACTGTACATTCCTTGGAACTCCCACATGAAAATAACAATAACTAGAAAACATGATAAACACAGCCACAAAACTTTTCTCATCTGAAAACCATATTGATGAAGTCAGTCAACTAAAACAAGACTTTATCAACATGAATAAATTTCCTACAAAAAGTGTTGAAAGAATTATTCTTAGATATCACAGCCAACCCACAATCCAAAAGTCAACAAAACACTACACTGCTGCCTGCCGTACATTCCAAATATCAGTGACAAAATAACTAACATTTGAAAAAAACTCATAACCAAACATAACATTCCATTAAACATTAACTTCATTCCAAAACCAGGTACAAAATTACAATCTGTACTGTGTAAAAACTGACAAGCATGATACTAACATCATTTATAAAATACAATGCAACAACTACCATGACTTCTATATAGGAGAAACAAGCTGAAAAATGGAAACCAGATTCAATTAACACAAAAAATCACCCTTCCATGTTCTTTATCATTGTATTTCAAATAACCACAGTATAACCATAGAAAACACTAATATACTAAGTAAAGAAACCAAAATTAACAAATGAAAAATTAAAGAAGCTCTTATGATACAAGAACTTAAACCCACACGAACTTTTATATCTATAATAATTATTCCTTAATTTTAAATACCATATAATAGATTAAATATATACAAAGCCCCCTACAATCATACACTTATCATTACTGTTGTTTCCACAACTTGTGATCAGTAATGGTTACTTTTTCAAATCTCATTCTTAATCTGATGATGATGACCTAAGGAGGTTGAAATGTTACTTGTTTTGTGTTTCTTAAATAAAAGTTTTTAATACCCATATCAGCCATCTCT